CAAGCTGACCCTATATTATTAATTTTTTTTTTTTTATTAGATAAATTGTGTTAATATAATGATTACTATGTTTATTTTAATTTTATTTTTTATATATGTTTCTCATCATTGTGCTTGTGTTGCTAAAAAACGAAAACGACGAATCTCACACTTGGGAGCAAAGTAGCAATTCGTTATTATCGTTGTTACAGTCATTGCCTTGCTATTTTGCTCTCTAAGTGCGAAACGAATCATCTTCATTATTAACCTTTTTTCTTCTCGCATGTGTGGTTTTCTACTTACATCATTTGTTCATTGTGGCGCTGGTCTCATGTCTACTGTGATGTGTGCGTACATACGCATATTTATATAAACGTATATATCTTCTGTTTTTTTTTTTTTTTTCTACGATTTGTTATTACGTGTGAAACAATATACTATACGAAAAAACAACGGGACCTAAACATGTACCGGAGCGTACAGGGTCATAGCCTTAAATATCACTCATACACGCATAAACATTCGCATTGTCTGTATTCTTCTGGGTATATAATGTTTATCATCAGAAAAATGTAAAAATTACATCTACTTTTCCTTCACTTGGCGTCTTGAGTGTGCGCGTGCCATTGGGCCATGGACAGACACATTAGTTTACACTTTGTTGTGTACGAGAGACGTAATACTTTGTTGGTTAACGAAAACGTGATGCGTTATATATATTACATTTTTGTGCTTTGGGCAAAAATTAAAAGAGACAAAACATAGTACAGTCGTTGAGACTGTTTCACATGACTATGATATAATAATTATCAAGCATCTTCTAACCATTTTAAAAACTTTTTTTCACAATATATTAATATTATTACTGTCACCACCTTACTTACCTATTACTGCCTCTTACTTACCTACAACTGTACTGAAAAAAAAATTTTTTTTCTTTGAATGAAGAAATATTTAGTAGAATAGTTTCAAGTCAATATCATCTTAAAATGAGATTTTTTTTTTTTAATCTAGAAAGTTTTCTTGTTAAAACGGAATATTTTCTGGAAGCAAGAAAATGTAATCTCATTTCACGATATTATTTACTACTATTCAAGTACGTATTTTCTTGAATCTAAGAAATTTTTTTTTAGTGTGCTGCTGCGAAATTACGATTATTTTGATAAGTTTCGCGGTCTTTTCATATTTTAACGTCAGAAGGGTTCGAGGTTACAAATAAAACATCTTGGTGGGATTATTTGGCTTATGCGAAAAACGTAGAACAACTTGTACTTAACACGTTTAACAGCCGTTTCTTCTTTATAACATTACTCTTAAAACTCCTTTTTATAACTTATCCCACTACAAAAAACTAATTGAATTTTTCGCTAGAAGAAAAAAAAACAAAGATTGTCCAATGACTATGTCATATTATATCAGTCCCTTCTACCTGCTTTACTAACTTTGTGGAAAAAAGGGAGCTGCTTTAAATACAAACAAATTCGGTAAAACAAAATACGTAATATATATTGATAATCAAAAAACCTGCCTGTGTTACCTGCCTGTTCTGCCTGTCTGCTTGCTTTTATTTGGGTTTTGATGTATATGCGTCTGTCCGTGTTGACAATCGATTAACCCCTTGTGAATTACTCACCTGGCCTTTATACATATATACATGTAAAAAAATCTTTCGATGCGGCTAGCGCGTCTGACTTAATAATTTTCATTTATTTTTATATAAAAAAGAAAAAAAAAGAAAAAAAATGCATATACACGTATATTAAACTACTTTGTTGACCGTGTAAGATAGTTAAAAAAAAAAAAAACTACGTATGGGGTGAACGAAAATTTTCGAAGCAGCCCTTAACTATAAAACTGGTTTGATTCGTAAGCATTTTTCTGAATACATTATTCTTATTCTAAATCTATTTTTCACGACTTTCTTTTGACTTGACTATTTAATGCCACTATTGTCTAAAAGACTTGTAAAATCGACGTTAAATTATACATATTATATTGCATACGTGTTTTTTACCCGCCTTCTTGTCTGAATCTGTACTTTTTTGTATAATAGAAAACAGTAACAAAAAATTACAAGCAAAATGTACTTACGACCTCACGTGTTTTGAGGCGATAACCTTTAATTATTGTCTTTATTAACTACTTTGTGTGACAAGCAATCAGTATATCTATACTGTATAATGTAAAAAAAAAAAATAATGCTGTATCGTTGTTGTAGTACATAAAGATTTTTAAAGGGCTGAATGAGATACACCGCTTCGTACTAACGGGGCCCTAATTAATACCACACTAACCGACTTGACTTGTTTTTTCGTGAAACTAATGACTGCATTCAATTTTCTTTCCTCTTGTATGAAAATGTTATGCTCCTCGTGTGATTTTCAGTTATTGGTTTATGATTTTTATGTTGTATATTTTTTGCATTTTTTAACAACACATCCGTGAATTAAACGTTGTAATTATATACATAAATATTTATCATGAACTACGATGGTACCGTGGAGACGTTGATTGGACCACCCAGTCTAGATTTTACAATGTAAGTTTTTATTTATGTTATCATTATTATACTACTGCATACTGTTTGATAATCGTTTCAATTATTTAATAATTAGCCTTCATTGCATTATTTTTCTTAAACAATATTTTGTTATTATACCACCATTTTATTATAATCACCATCATCATCATCATCATCACAAGCATTACAATCATCATTAGTAATATTTTTTAGACTAATAAATTTTTGTAATTTTATTTTGTAAGCCACTCGAGACTTTATTATCGACGACGAGAACCGCGTTCGCTTTGCAGGTCTCCAATTAATCGTTGTAGTCTCCTCTTGTTAATGAACTTTTTGAGGTCAAGCTGACCCTCCATCTCAGCTGGCTACTGTTGTTGAGATTATATACTATACCATATACTTGTTTAAGACAAAGAATAACACGTAAGATAATTAATAATATATAATAACTTTTGTAATTAATTTAAAAAAAAAAAAATAATACTAAGGCAAACACAATTTAACCGAAAAATTGCCATAAGAATGTTGAATGCTCTTACATCGCGTGTTATGAATAATTGCAAAGCGGACGTGGTGAGGTATGATACATTTTTGAGGGCAATCTGTACTCTGAATTAAATGAAATGTGTGCGCGCGCGCGGCTGGTACGATTACACAGTGAGTCGCATGCATTGTACTTACTGTCATGTAAGTCATATACATGATAATCATATCAAATTATTTTTGCGTTATGACGATGTGTTTCAATATAGTCGACGTATATATAGCGATATAATTATATCACACGAATTACCAGTATGATAATTTCATTGCTTCGACAACCGTCATTTTATTGACAAAGTCGACATTCTAATCAATTTTGTAATTTTCTTTTTTTTTTTATTTACTTAGTTATTTTACTGTTACTTCTGTAGAGTTATTATTATTTTCTTTTTTAATACTGTACAGTTTCGTTTTCGCTATCTTAATCGATCGATGATTGTAAAACGATGGTCTTAGCTTTATGCAACGGTAAATTAATTAAGAAATCTTGAAATTATCTTTGGCTATCCCTTCATAAGTGTTAATAAAATTAATAGATTAAAAAATCTTATTATGATAAAACACTTGAACGTCAAAAAAAAAAGTAACAAAATATAAAAGTAAATTAGTCTTATCAAGAACTTAACTATTAACGATTACAAATAAAAGCTAGAAAAACGATAAAATTCAACGTGGCGATAGTTAAATCGTTTCAGCTTTAAAAAAAAAAAAAAACTGAACCTAGCAATGAAAATAGTTACCGACAGACTTTATTATGACTATAATTATGAAATATAACGCATATACATTATGTTACATAAATATATAATATATTAATTATTGCTATCATAAAGTTTAAGACACGTCATTGCAACTTTGTGTTTCACAAAGGACGCACGATTAAAAGAAGCCGAATTTTTGTGGCCGCCAATGCAATTATAACTGCAAACTCTTTATATTTTTTTTTGTAATTTAAAAAAAAGTTAGTTTTTCTAAAATTAGTTTGTTTTGTTCTAATTCGTATTTTTTATGCGCACTTTTTGTAATGTTATCCAATTGTTTGTTATTGAATTCATTGTAGGAATAGATTGTAAATTTGTAAAAATAAAATACATTTACAAATCATGTTTTGTACTAGATATTTTTGGTAATGTATAATTTCAAAAGTGAACTCGTGATTATAAACAGTGAAAATTAAAAAAAAAAAATTGTTTGGTGGGTACTAGGTATTAAAAAAGTCAACTGCAAAACAAGTCTTGGAAAAATTTTTTACTCAAATAAATTTGTTCTCTTCCGGCGGTCAGAAAACCTAGAAGTGCTGCCATTTCCGCTGCCAACTGTTTTACTGTAGCGAGAATGTACGTAGTTATTTAAAAAGACACAGATCACTATGAATGTATGAAAACGAATTTAACATTTAAGAAAAAAAAGGTGAAATTCTTGATCATTTACACAATTGCGTAGCATAAAATAATATAATCAACTGAAAAATATTCTGGTCTTGACGCATCTATGTGTTGGGCTATAAAAAAAAAAAGATATATCTAACTGTTGAGATATTGTTTCAGGTTGAACGTTAAGTAAATAAAATGACATTTTAACTTTAACTTTGACGGTCAATAAAAGTACTGTATCTTTCATAAAATTTACAACGTGTTTGTCTTCCTTATTTTTTGACACCAAAACAGGACGATTTTACTAATAATTGTTCTCATCGTGTTCATAACATTAATTCAATATTACATTTATGTTACCATAAGAGGAATTACCTGTACTATGTAAAATCCTCTGGTTCATTCATTTCATCAGAATGAATACGATTCTCGTCACGTCGACCATGAATCATAAATGAAATTACAAGACAGGTCGTTTCGGCAGTCGATTCTTTTACATTTATATTTTTTCTTTTGATCAAAAGAGAAATATTTTGATGCAATGTTT